ACCCTAATTTTGACTATGTTAGGAGGCAATTGGACTGTGCAACCCTTGAGAGATTTTGAACTATTTAGAGATTGATCTTGACAAATCTTGAAGAATATGGGAGGGCAGATTTTGGGGTACAACACTCGATTTTGGGGAATAGTCATGATGACGGCATTTGAAAGGCCATCGTGCGTGCAAAGTGTCTTACTGAAGTTACGTCTTGGGAAAAGGTGAAATGATGACTTTTTGAGTTTGTCAGTTGGTTGGTAGATGAAAAGCACACAAAACTGATTTGTGGATGAGAGTGAAGGACAAGTGTCGAATGGAATATCAAAGAATGCCTTTTTCTTTTTAGCGTCGAAATAAGACATTCTTGGGGGGAAATTTGTTGGCTCCTAAATTCGACACCCACGTTTGTTCATCATATAGATCATTAATTATGAGTCAGAAGAGTTTCCTACACAAGAAGGCTTCGACCAGCTGATCACGTCGAAGGCTCATCAAAGAATGACAAGATACTTAGAGAAATTCCTTTAAGTTGGAATCTGGTTGTCTTCGACGTTGAAGGAGCAACCTCTCGACCAAGGTCCCTGATGCCCAAGATCGAACGGTTTGAATTCTGAATTATTGGAGTGAAAACGGTTCCCAACAGTTACCAAGCGCAACGTGTCATGCACGTAGGCGTCGAAGGTTGTGAGCATGCCATGTGGCGTCATCATGAAGCGGCATGACTGCCCAACGGTTATTTAGTTTTTTAGTATAAATACTAAGTGTTTACGAAGTTATGAGGTGTTCATCATTGTATACAAGTCACTCATTTAGATTCAAGTACCCAGCGTGAGAGAAAGAATCATTGAGAATGTATGTGTGAAACACCATTTACCTTAATCAAAGTCTTTTATATTCAAGCAATTTATCACTTTCACTCATTTACTTCAGTCGAAGTCATTTATTTAGCAAACCTTTAATGCTTTTATTTACTTTATCAAGCTTTTCTCCATGCAATTTATTTAAAGTATCTTTACTTTACTTGCATTAATCACCATTAGGATTAATCGAAACTCTTTATTTCAAAGTATTTAAACTCCAAAGATCAACCATGTCTTAGGATCAATCCGATCGATCCTGCGAGTCACCAAATAAGTTACCTTTTGGAAGATCAGCGGTTGTTTACTATTTTTCACGGTAAACAGTATCCAGAAGTACTTCTTCTGTCAACGCTATCTCTGCACCAATCAGAATCAGAATAACTCAAAAGTTCTGATTCGATCTTTCTTCCAGACGGAAATAACACTCCATATTTCAGAGTTCCCTTTACATACCTCAGAATCTTGACAACAACTTGGTAATGAGACCACTTTGGTTTGCTCATAAATCTGCTAACCATTCCAATTGCATAGCAAATATCAGGTATGGTATTACACAAATACCTTAGAGAACCAACCATTTGTTTAAAGGTTGTAGCATCCACATCCTCTCCATCAGAATCAGAGTCCAACTTCTTTTTCGTATCAGCAAGTGTGATAGCAACCTTGCAATTTTCTAGCTCAAATCTCTTCAGAAGTTCTAGTTCATACTTTATCTGATGTAAAATGATTTCTTTCTCAGAGTACATAAATTTCATCCCTAGAAAGAAACTCATTTTCCCAAGATCTGTCATCTCGAACGCATTCATCAAAACTTTTTTGAACTCGACTATCTCTTGTTCAGAACTTCCTGTGAGTAATATGTCATCAACATACAAACGGACCAGAATCAAATTACCTTCTGAAGTATGCTGAACATAAACATCATACTCCATCTCACACTTCTGAAACCCTTGTTCCTTGAAAAATAAATCAATCTTCAAATTCCAAACTCTGAGTGTTTGCTTCAATCTATACAAGGCTTTGTATAATTTGAACACCACCCCTTTTTAATTCTTTCGCATTATTCATAAATTAAATATTTTATCTCTCCATTTCCTTTAAAAGCATCGTTAGTAATTTAATGGAGGGAAAAAATATTGTCATTTAAAGTATCATTGATACAAATTCAGAATGGATTTTAACGGAGAAAGAAACTTTTAACATCAAATAATAATTAAATTTAAATATTTTTAATTATATTACCATTTTTTTGAGTAAAAATTGTATTTATAATATATTTATGCATACCTTACATTAGCTTTACTTAAAGAGTGAATTACCATTACATTTGAGCATTAAAATTGTTATTAAATTTATTAATTTGGTGTATTTTATACTAAATTATTAAATTCAAAGTTAATACATGTTAAGTTTGCATATAATTAATAAAATATATTTTTCCTCAAATTAATTTTAATTATGTTATTTTCCATTTTTATTTTACTATTTATTTTAAAATAAATGTCCGATAACATGTGCTTTTGCATTTTTCTATAACTTAAAAATAATTTTTGACATATAGAGTAGACTTATAAATTTGTGTGACACAATTAAATTATAAATTTATAAATTTAAAATTGACATATACAATAAATGAGTATATGACTAATAAATATAATTTTTTTAATCAAAATTATTTTGAATTTTTTCATCTCTATTTTACTATTTATTTCAAAATAAGACAATCTCTTATTTAGAAGGATGCTTTTTGTATTTTTTTTTAATTTTATATTTTTAACTCTTAATTTATATTCTTAGAACATAAGTTAGTATTAATTATAAAATAAATATTGTTACACTCATTTTCTTCAAAAGCTTTTATAGTAATTCAATTTAATGCGCTTTAATAGAAAAAAAAAAGTATATGTGCGTGCATGAACAATTTAAGTTTGAAAATTTTGATTTTTATGACACATTTAATTAATCTTATTTATTTATTATCATAAAAAATATTAATAATTTTTTTTATAAATTCTTTAATAATATTATAAATTTTTTTTTTAAATTGAAAACTCAATAGTCGTGCGGGCAACAAACTTTTTTTCTTGTGTGTCACTATCAACATAACCTATTTTAATTTAATTTACAATTCTCTTTGTTTTTTATAAGAAATTCTCTTTATTTAAGAGACAAAATCTTTATTTTCAAATAGTAAAATTTTTTTTCTTTCTCCATCTCTACGGTCCCTTTTTTTTCTCCTTTTTTTTTTTATATTTATGTAATAGAATTGAGTTTATAAAAAAATTGATGTAAGAAAATTTTGGTAAAATAAATTTATTTTTATTTTTAAAATATGATCAAAATATTGAATATTAATTGAAACATGAAATTATTGATCAAAAAATTGAATATTAATGAGAACATAAAATTTCTGATCAAAATATTAAATATTAACGAAAACACGAAGTTATTAATTAAAATATTAAATATTAACGGGAACATGAAGTTACTAATCAAAATATTGAATATAGACGAAAATATTAAATTACTGATCAAAATATTGAACAGTAACGAGAACATGAAGTTAATGATAAAAGTATTGAATATTAACAGAAACATAAAGTTCTTGATCAAAATATTTTTCATTAATTAAATATTCGGTTAATTTTTTTCCATAACCATTAAAAATAATATTTTTAAAAGTCAACATCATCATTTATAAGAGTTATAATAAATAAAATATATTAATATTTTCATAAAGAAAATATATTAGTTTTATGAAAATATTTATTGAAATAATGTTTATAAAAGTTAATGTCATCATTAATTTTTTTAATTATTATATTTTAACTTTATTTATATTTTTATATAAATATATTAATTATTATTAAATATTTTATTTTTATTTAAATTTAATTTTGAATTCAAATGCGCGTAATAGACATAAATGGAGTGATTTGTAATATGAGAAATCGATAAATAAAGGTTAATTGAATCAAAGGATTTTAGGAATTCTACTAGGGTTTCAGTGGTTTTCACGATCTGGGGCTCAACCACGGTGGTTGAAACTCCTCATCTTCGGATTAGGGATTGCCCAGGTGGAAAATCGATTATTTTTGTTTCATCGGGGTTATTTCCTCTTACTGAGTTCCTTTCAGGATCGTTTTGGATATCTTGTTTCTCTTCAATGGGGTTTGCATCTGCAAACCATGGAATTCTAATTCAAGAGAAAGATCAAAGAGATAAGTTCACCAAGAAAGTCAAAGATAAAGATGGAACCGAGATACAAAAGACGATGAACGAAATTCAAAACCCCACTATGTCCATCTCCTTCAAGAACATGGTGACAAGTGAATCTTCTGAGAATATGCAAGTCAAGGAGATGTAAGACAATGAAGAACACAATGGAGGAATTCACGTTGAAGAAAGGAAAGTGGATGAGTACGAATGCCCCAAAATTTTCATGACAGAAGAAGAACGAAGAATAGCCAAACCTTGGAACAAAGGGATGATAATGAAGATGTTAGGAAGAAGAATTTGATACAAGGTGCTTGAATCGCATCTAAACTATCTCCAGGAAAAACGTGGGGTTCTTACTATAGTCGACCTAGGCCAAGAATACTACTTGATCATGTTTTCGAACGAGGAAGATCACAAAACAACTTTGTTAGAAGGTTCGTGGCTCATCTATGACCATTACCTCACACTGTTGAAATGACGCCTCAACTTTTGTCCAAATTCCTACGCAGTTGACCAGTGGAAGTGTGGGTTATAATCTTTGGCCTTCCCATTGAATGTTATGATAACCGTGTTCTTACCCGTGTGGGAAACCGAATTGGAAAAACGATTATAGTCGATAGAACCACTCTATCAAGAGAACAAGGGAAATACATGAGGCTCTGTCTTTAGGTCAACTTGAAAAATACTATGCCCGCTATGTTTTATATTAGAGGAATACATTACAAGGTGGAATATGAAGGGCTTCACCTTCTGTGTCTTGGTTGTGGTAGATATGGGCATGAATCTACGATGTAAGAGAGTAAAATGAAAACTACACAAGAGATAATCAACAAAGTAGGAGATGCATGAAAAGATAAAGAAAAAGTCCAAGATATAGAGGATACCCAATTTAAGGGACCTTGGATTGTGGTTCAGAAACCTAAGAGAAACATGAAACAAAAAGGTATGCAGAATCAACAAGATATAGAAAAGACTAAGATGTGGGGATCGAGATTCCTAGTTCTAGAAGAAGATGATGTGCTGGAAAACTTGGACACGAAATTTGAAAAAGCTGAGGACATCAAAGATGAAACACAAAATTATGTCAATGAGGTGTTTCAGGAAGAGACATCATTAGAAAACTTAGAAGAAAGGCCATACATGGAGAATATGGGATCAAGCAGAAAAAGGAAGGAAAGCAGAAAAGTCAACACTCATGCCATACTTGAAATAACATCCAAAGGCATTTGTAAAGACAAAATTAAAGGAGGTTTGAATCGAGGCAATGCCAAAAGAAGCATGGAAAATTTACTTGAGGGTCTTAAACAAAGACCTGGGAGTAAAAGGCTACACAAACATATTGGTCTCATCATAGGAGACTTTGAACTCGGTGCTCCTTCTACTAGGCCTGCTATAAATCCGATCTAAAAAGAGGTTCATCTCTCTAATGGTAGGGTTGAAGAATCTACTCATAGTAACTCGACTAATGATGAGGAAAGCATGGGTGATAACAACCTTGAAACTGTTGATGAAGACATATGTATTCCTACTTTTGAAGAAGAATGAGATATGGTGTTGGTGAGGGAAAAACCCATTGAGAAACAAGGTCAGTGATTGCTCATCATTTCTCCATGATCAAGAAACAATTTAATATCTTCATCTAGAATTATTGAGGAGAGGCAAATTGTGCTTTTGTTAGGGTGTGTAAGAGCTATATTCGCGTGGTTCATACATATATTTTTGTTATTATGGTAACTCGATTTGACCCTGAGAAATTGAGAAATAAGTTTATGATGTTGGGTTTTAATGGCTATGATTACTCCAAAGTGGTGGGTTACTCGGGCGACATTGCTATGAGCTAGAAACAAGACAAAGTAACTGTTAAAGATTAGCACATATCAAATCATAATCATTTGATTCTGATTTGTCAAGCTGTTACAAAACAGTGGTGTAAATAGATTTATTATCTATTATTCTGATTTCCTTATTTAGGTAGCAGCAATTATAGGAAATTATTTCTCTGTTTATTAACAAATTAGTGTACTGTATTCTATATATACCTCACAATGTAACAGTTCCAAAATAATGAAATATACAACGTATTTCTATATGGTATCAGAGCATAAGATCTGAACCATCCCTAAACCTTGAGCACCACCCATGGCAGATACTAAAGCAGAAAATTCAGCCAACAATTTGGCCGAAGGACATGCTCTTCCTATCACTGGTCACAAACTGAATGGCCAGAATTACAATCAATGGGTGCGCTTAGTCAAAATATACCTTCAAGGAAAAGGGAAGGAAGGTTATATCACAGGAGACTCCAAGTGTCCAAAAAAGGGGGATTTCAACCTTGAAAAATGGCAACTAGAAAACAGTCTAGTAATGTCATGGCTGCTAAACACCATGACAAATGAAATTGGAGAAAATTTCTTGTACTATGATACTGCCAAAGAGATGTGGGATGCCGTAAAGGAAACCTACTCTAATGTCGATAATACATCTGCAATATTTGAAATCAAGAGCATACTCCATGACTTGCGTCAAGAAGACCCCTCAGTCACAGAGTATTTTAATACTCTCAATCTTCACTGGCAGCAACTGGATGTATATGATGAAGCTGCACAGAGGATAAAAAGAAGTACAAAGAATTGGTGGAGAAAGATAGAATCTACAAATTTCTCTTAGGTTTGAACACAGAACTTGATGAAGTTCGTGGGAGAATCCTTGGAACCAAACCTCTTCCAAAAATTCGAGAAGCATTCTCGGAAATACGAAGAGAGGAAAGCAGGAGAAAAGTGATGCTTGGAAAATCCAGTGCAGCCCCATCTATAGAAGGATCTGTAATGGCAGCAAGGGGAGATCATCGATCTTTCCAAAAGAAAACACGGCCATGGTGTGACCACTGCAAGAAACCGGGTCATACCAAAGACACATGTTGGATCATTCATGGAAAGCCATCAGAGCTAAAATGGAGCAAAAACCGGGACAGCAGAGGGAACACAGCTGAGGTAAATTCTCACTCATCACCATTCAACAAGGAGAAAATGGAAGCCTTACAAAAATTGCTTCAACAAACAATTGGTACAGCTACTGTGGCACAAAAAGGTAATTTTTTGCATGCTCTAAACACTAGCAGGGGAAAACAAAAGTCATGGATTATTGACTCAGGAGCATCTGATCACATGACTGGAGATTTGACTGTCTTTGATAGCTATTCTCCATGTCAAAATAATTCGACTGTTCGAATTGCTGATGGTACCCTTTCTAAGGTCATGGGTAAAGGTTCAGTCATTATTTCGCAAAATATTACTCTTAGTTCAGTACTGTATGTGCCTAAACTTGATTGTAACTTGCTGTCCATAAGTAAACTTATAAAGGATTTGAAGTGTATCACTAAATTCTTTCCTAACCTGTGTGAATTTCAAATTTTGGAGTCGGGGAGGACGATTGGCAATGCTAAAGAATGTGCTGGACTCTATATCCTTCAGGATGAAGCATATAAACCAGAATTCGAGGCAACCTCTTGCGCTGTAGTTTCTGCATGCAGTGAAAATTCTGCAATGCTGTGGCACTATAGACTAGGCCACCCAAATTTTATGTACTTGGAAAAAATGCTTCCTAAACTATTCAATAGAAATCAGAAGTTTTTTCAATGTGAAATTTGTCAATTGTCCAAACATACACGCAGCCCCCACCCACCTCAACCCTATAAACCTTCCCAACCTTTTTATGTTATTCATAGTGATGTATGGGGACCATCGCGGGTCAGAAATGTAACTGGAGCAAGATGGTTTGTCACATTTATTGATGACCACACACGGATCACTTGGGTCTACCTTATGAAAGATAAACCGGAAGTTGGTAGGATTTTTGAATGTTTCCATACCATGGTGCAAACACAATTTTAAAGCAAAATTAGAGTGCTTAGGAGTGATAATGGTCGTGAGTACTATCATTCTGCACTAAGCTCATACTTTACGCAACATAGAATAATACACCAAACCTCATGTGTGGATACACCTCAGCAGAACGGGGTTGCCAAGAGAAAGAATAGACACCTCCTAGAAGTAACCCGATCTCTCATGCTAGCTACAAATGTACCTAACCAGTTTTGGGGAGAAGCTGTTCTCTCTGCAACCTATCTAATAAACAGAATGCCTTCCCGAATCCTTAACTTTCATACGCCTTACTCCACTCTCCAAACCTTATACCCAATCAATCGTATTCTTACATCTATTCCTTTGAAAATATTTGGATGCACAACCTTTGTCCATAATCTTGATCCCCAACGCAGTAAACTTGACCCGAAATCCATTAAATGCATATTCCTCGGCTACTCTCCTCACCAAAAGGGATACAAATGTTATTCACCTCAAAACAAAAAATTCTACCACACCATGGATGTAACCTTTTTTGAGAATCAACCATATTACCCCAAAGTTGGCATTCAGGGGGAGAACACATATCCAATTGAAGTGGTAGAATCCCAACTTTTGGAACTTGAGCTAACTGAACCCAAACTCACTGTAGAGGCATCAAAACCTACACCTGAACCAAATGAAAATGCAACAGAAACTGTAGAACTTACATGTGGACCAGAAGAAACTACGTTAGAAAATACAGAGGAAATTGCAATAGAAACTGCAGCCCCTACAACAGAAACTGCACCAGGAAACAACATGAAAGTGTACTCCAGGAAGAACAAGAAGGGAATAGAGTCCTGCACAACTCCAAGGCAGAACCAAGAAACCTCCAAGACTCCAGAAAATGGTGTTCCCTCAGGTAATACTGCTCCTAACTCTGTGAATGTTGATATTGATATTCCTATTGCATTGAGAAAAAATGTAAGATCATGTACCAAACATCCCATTGAAAGATTTGTATCTTATGGAAAATTGTCCCAAAGTTACAAGACTTTTGTAACAGCTCTTGACAATACACATATTCCAAGCAACATCCATGAGGCACTCCAAAATTCTGAATGGGCAGCAGCTGTAATGGAAGAGGTTCAGGCCTTAATTAAGAATGGCACTTGGGAAATCACAAGCCTACCTACAGGGAAGAAGCCGGTAGGATGCAAATGGATATTCTCCATGAAGTATAATGCAGATGGGAGTGTAAATCGGTACAAAGCTCGACTTGTAGCAAAGGGATTTACTCAATCATATGGAGTAGATTATGAAGAGACTTTTGCACCGGTGGCAAAACTAAACTCCGTTAGAGTTATTCTCTCTTTAGATGCAAATTTAGATTGGCCACTCCATCAACTAGACATCAAGAATGCCTTCTTAAATGGTGACCTAGAAGAGGAAGTTTATATGCAGATTCCTCCTGGATTCGAATCATCCAGCACCGCAAATATGGTGTGCAGGCTCCGAAAATCCCTTTATGGCCTCAAGCAGTCCCCAAGGGCGTGGTTTGATAGATTGACTCGAGTTGTCAAGAAAGACGGGTTCAACCAATGCCAATCAGATCACACTATGTTTGTTAAACACTCCATGGAAGGAAAGGTAGCTCTGTTTATTATTTATGTGGATGATATCGTTATTACAGGAAATGATTATGATCAAATTGATCATTCAAAGGGACTCTTGGCAAAGGAATTTGAAGTTAAGGACTTGGGACAAGTTAAGTATTTTTTAGGGATGGAAGTTGCTCGAACAAAGGATGGTATCTATGTATCACAAAGGAAATACACCCTTGACTTACTTCAAGAAACTGGAATGCTTGGGTGCAAGGCAGCTAATACACCAATAGAACAAATAAAAGGAAGAGAAGATGAAAGTCCACCGGCCGACAAAGATAGATATCAAAGTCTAATTGGGAAACTAATCTACCTATCTCACACTAGGCCTGACATTGGGTTCGCTGTAAGCTTGGCTAGTCGCTACATGTCAAATCCAACCGAGTCTAACATGAAAATGGCGAATAGAATCCTCCAATACCTCAAAGGCACACCAGGTCGAGGCCTCCACTTCAAGAGAAATTCAAACAAGGACATTGAAGTTTATACAGATTCAGATTGGGCAGGATGCTCCACAGACAGAAAATCGACTACAGGTTATTGTTCATTTGTGGGGGGGGAACCTAGTAACTTGGCGAAGCAAGAAACAAACTGTAGTGGCGAGGAGTAGTGCAAAAGCAGAATTTAGAGCTATGGCCCTAGGTATTTGTGAAGGAATGTGGCTTAAGAGCATGCTAGATGAAATCAAAATTCCAGTGAACCATACTGTGAGGTTACTATGTGATAACAACGCTGCTATAAGCATTGCAAAGAACCCAGTCCAATATGATAGAACAAAACATGTGGAAATTGACCGACACTTCATTAAAGAAAAAATTGATCATAAGATTATAAGTATTGATCATGTCCCATCATGCAAGCAAACTGCAGATATCTTAACCAAGGCTCTTTCAAGGAATAC